CGCCCTCTAAGGCTAGTTACCTAAATTTATCAACTGTCTGGTAAGCTGTTTGACATATCAAATGAAATTATCTACAGCTTGTAAACTGGTAGATAAATTACCAAAAGTTATCAACTGTCTGGTATAAAACTGATATATTTATTACCAAAAGTTATCAACTTTCTGGTAAACTGGTTGATATATTACCTAAAATTATCAACTGTCTGTTAAACTGGTAGATATATTACCTAAAGTTATAAACTGTCTGGTAAACTTGTCGATATATATTACCTGAAATTATAAACTGTCTCCGGTAAACTAGATTTATATTACCTGAAATTATCAACTGCTTGGTAAACTTTTCTCTCGCTTCGCTCGTCTGGAAGTAAGCAGACAGCTAGATAACTCTTGTAGATTTTACCGAACTAAAAATATATCATGAAAATGAACAGTTTTACATTTCTTTTGGTAAAAGAAAATATAAATAAATGCTATAAATATGTACACAAAGAGTATACACCAGGAAAGTACATATATGTTTAGATTTTTTGTTTGTTTTGGTGTTTGTTTGTTTTTTTGTATCCACTGAACGTCAAAGCAGGGGAGGTTTATGGCCGGTTAAAATTGAAAAAAATCCCAAAAATTGTTAATTTTATAATTGGTTTGAAAATCCATATATATATTTAAACAAGAAAATTTTCTAAAATTTTAATTTTATGATTACAAAGAAAAAATGGTGGCTTGATTAGAATATCAGTAAATGCTTAAAAGATAATCATTTGACGTTTTAATTTAATGGCAATTCTAGAAGGACTTTAACTAAGTCTAAACAGTTTTTTTTCCCAGAAACTGCAGTAAACTTTATGTCAACAAAACTTTTGAGGATGATGGTGTTTTTCCTTTATACAATATAATATATTCCTGATTTCACCTAATGGAAAAATAATTCATTGTGCTATAATTTCTTCTTCTGGAATGTGTTTGTTGTGTTATCAAGTTTTTTTTCAGAACAAATTAGAGAAGTTTTGGATCAAATGAAAGGTTTTTTTAAAGTTTTATAAACTAATCAATTTTCGGAATTTATTTAGTTCAGAACATACTATAGCAAAGCATAAATAACAAGACGTTTAGAGCTTTGAAGAGAAGATTTTTATTTAAGAGGTTTGATATCAAAAAATATGAAGCAAAAAACTTTTTATGTTTCAAATCTGTTGCACCATATAGAATAAAACGTTGTTGTCTATCTTAACCTAATTATACCTGAACATACGAAAATACAAGTGACATGGTATTTGAATAAAATTTTAAGCAGATACTATTCAGTAAATACCAAAATTGCGGCACGCTCCTATTACAATGCTATCATTTTTCATGTTTAGGTTTCCTTTGGGCGATATCTTTGGTCTCTAGGTGTCTCTGCTCTTGATATTTCAAGGATTTCATTTGGATTTTTAGATTTTAAAATTGTCAGATTTGTTCCGTTTTTGCTGAAATTTTTCTTTTTACGTAGTAAATGCTATACTCTTAAAACTTCGTCCCAAAATGTATCAGTCCAGATACAACCCGTCCGCTATCAAAGTCAAACAGGACACGATTTACACTCCTACAATCCGTAAACTATCAATGCCACTACCACTAGGCGCAATCTATTTAGCTATCGGTGTCAATACTGACACTAGCTATTAATCGAGCTCTAAATGCCACACAGGGACACAAGCGTAGCTATTAAACAAGTTATTAATCGAAATCTAAATGTCAAACAGGTACACAACCGTGGCTATCAATCAAGCTATTAATCGAGCTCTAAATGCCTCACAGAGACACAAGCCTAGCTATCAATCAAGCTATTACTCAAGCTCTGAATGTCACACAGAGACACAAGCATAGCTATCAAACAAGCTCTTAATCGATCTTTGCCAAATTCTATAGGCAAGATCTCGTGTATTTCAACAAGGATTCAAATTATTTTCAACACTATAATTAAAGCAGAGTCTCTTTATTAACTGATGTATTTGAAGTTTATATGTTACAAGTCAAAGTTGAAAGCCGTAATCATGTCATTATTTGTATCACACAATTAAGGCAATTATGTAACGTTTTACAGAACAGTTATATGTCACTATATATCACATGATTCAGCTAATCATCCTACGAATTAATTTGAAGCGCAGTTCAAATGAATAATGGGTTTACAAACATAGATAGTTAATAGCAGAAATAGTAGTTGTAGAAAGCAGTTGAGGTGTCAACACCTCCTCTCTCTGAGAGAGAGCATGCAAAATGCTTACAGAATATATTTAGGACTAGGGCCGCAAGCCTTATATAACCTTTATACAGTCAACTAGAATGGGTTCACACCCTTTGCTAATGGTAGATGTCAAAGTCTACTACAGTCAACAAGAATGGGTTCACACCCTTTGCTTATGGTAGATGTCAAAGTCTACTACAGTCAACAAGAATGGGTTCACACCCTTTGCTAATGGTGGATGTCAAAGTCTACTACAGTCAACAAGAATACATTATTACTTTTGCTGAATCTATATGTATTTATAAGTTCAATTAATGCATTCCTAAAAATGTTTTGATTATTTGAGTGCTGACTAAGTATTTACTTGTAAATCCACAATGAATGTATATTCAGTTGAGATTTCAATAAGAATAGTCTGTTTAACCAAATACCAATCAGAACAGAATTATCAAACATCATATTTTCAACTGGCTCATAATAAATTTTCTTTCGTGTTTTATCTTGAGCTGAACCATCATACATTATTATTTTGTATTTTGTGCTCGAAAATAAATACTATATAACTATGACTATAATAATTTTCAACGTACTACAGGTTTACAGAATATTGTGTTACCAGATATTTATTACATTTAAACTTTGATTTAAATAGCATGTCACTTATATTAAAGTTTTCGTAATTATTCAGACAAAGTTTTATTACATCAATTTCTTGAAACAGGGACAGCAGTTGATAGAAATATTTTTAGTTTGCGACCATACTCCTAAAATGTCTAGGCGTTAGCCTATACCCTTGGTTATTTTACCTTAAAGGGACTGTAAAGGAAAATTGAAAGGGGGTATAGAATAAAACTTGAGAACCTCAGGCGTTGAACGATACATGTAATACATTTATCTGATGTTCCTGAATGAATGAATTTTCGATTAAAGGAATTGAGTCTTTGCCAAAAATTCAGTTTTTGTAAAACCTATATCTTTGCAACCTTATGATGTAAACTTTTGATATTTCAAACTTACATTATTTGATCTAATAGCATTCATAGTTTAAAATATTAATTATCTACGACATTGGGTTGCAACGATATTGAAATTAGAAAATCAGAGTTTGTGGCAAAAACTCAATTCCTTTGACACAATTTTATTTCAATTTCTAGAGACGGGAACATCAGATAGATGTCTTACAGATATTGTTTAGCTCCTGAGATTCTCAGGTTTCAGTATATACCCCCTTTCATTTTTCCTTAACAGTTCCTTTCGCAATGAATTTGTATTTTTTTTTTAATTTCCGCAACTTCATCTCAAAACATCACTTTTGTTATTTTTGGGCTAAAAAAACCTAGTTGAGTTAATATCAATTCCTAAAGGTAATTAAAAAGGGTGAACAGTCCCTTTAATAAGATCTACACAAAAGTAAAAATAAATGAAAGAATGACAATTAAAGAACAATGAAACCTATAAATAAGTCTCTATAGAATAGATTGATTCTTTAATTAAAAATATAATAATAATGATATACAGGGTTACTCAGACAGAATAAGACTTGACAATCTAGAACTTTAGCAACAAACGAACTGAATTGTACGCGCAAATTAAGGAGAGGAAAAACGTATACTTTTACAAGAATGAATACGTTCGATTCAGTGTTCTATAAACTTAAAGTTTATTTGGGGAACCCATAACACAGTGGAATACGAAGACGACTGTTAGACTTACTCACTAACTATAGAGGTAATGGTTAAAAGTATAGTGAGTCTTAACTTTAAAACCCATGTTCAACTATTAAATGCAGATTTTTCGTATTTGCTATCAAATATTTTTTATTGAATTATGTATCTTAAATACAAAGTACATACGTTTTCTTACGCTATTTTAACAACGTAATTGAAACACTTTTAACCCTAGAAAAACAACAATATTCTCCATATTTTTGATCAGATAAAGGTTTCAAGGGTACCGTTATAAATGACGCTTACAGTCCCTTTAAGCTAAAATAAAAAAATATTTTTATTTTGTATATTTTTCAATATTTTTAAAATTTTATATTTTCTATTATTTGTACTGTTATATAACTGTTCACTACCAAGAGTTTAAAATAATTTTTAAGAGAAGGTAAAGGGGGGGGGGCTAGCGCTGATGGAAAATGATCTGAAAAGAAGGGGGAGTGAAAAACTGCTTCTTCCAAGCAATTTTTTTATTGTTCAAAGATGAAGATATAAAATGTCAGGTTTCTCTAAATCGGTCAAATTTTAATGCTATAATTTTAGTCCTTCGGTATTTATGAATTCTTCTACCATTTAATCAAAGTTTGAAATATCAAAGGTTTACACCATCAGGTTTCTAAGACATCAGGAAATAAGTATTTCAGGGGGAAATATCCAATTCACAAAGGTATCCTTGAAACTCATCCAACTCAATTTAATTTAATGCTTCTGTAAAATTTCGTGCATAGTCCCTTTAAGTGAAAGATTTTACCTCTTTAGGATTGTTTGGAAGATTCTTGATATTGATAATTCTGAACAAAGTTGTATTTTCACAAAAAGTTTTTGTTCAAAATTGATATTATTGGATCATCCAGTTTTGTGATCCTGTAAACTGGAGGAAGAAGAAAAAAAATCATAATTCAAACTAGTTTTCTTTTTAATATTTCACGAGGGAGAAAACTGATTACTCTAGTTTGATAATCTTTTTATTTCATATTTAAAACTATGAATTATGCTAAAGTGTATAAGGTAGAGCTCGGCGGCATTATCGGGGAACGTTTTATTGGTTTTAATTAGCGATATGGATTCCTCGTTAACAGCAAAATTAACGAACGCGGTTAGAACGTCTCTTTGAGATACTGAAACGTTCATAAATTAACGAACGAGAAAATAACAGTTTTTAGATGTCAACGACCAAAAACCAGTTCAAAACAATTAAATTTCCAATTTTTGTCCAAACTTTTTCATAAAATTTTTTTTTCAGAGTAACCCCCAACCCCAACAACCATTAACTAAATAAAATTTAAGTCATTAGTAGCTATAGCAAATATGTACAGGGTGTCCCACTAAATTATAAATTAACAAACGAGAATCTAACAGTGTTTAGATGTTAACGACCAAAAACTCGTTCAAAACTATTGAACTTCCAATTTTTTCCAAATTTTTTCATAATATTTTTTTTTTCAGAGTAACCCAAACCCCAACAACCATTAACTAAATAAAATTTAAGTGATCAGTAGCTATTGCATATATGTACAGGGTGTCCCACTAAACATGGGACTTGAGAGACGACTTGAATATCGTCGTTGTTTTCCGATAATTAATAAATGACATAAAGTGCATCAAAACTAAGATTGAAAGTCTAATGAGCTTTCCAAAATTAGGTCTACCTAAGTCTAATTAGGTCTACCTTCTTTGTATCCTTAAAATTGACGGAGATATTAAACATTTGAACACTTTAGTTGGGTTTTAATAAACTGGAATCTGGAGAAATATTTTCCTAATATCTCCGTCAATTTTGAAGGTTTTTAAAAATGTTAGACAACATTTTGGAAATCTAAAGTTTTAGGAGTAAAAACTTTAACTTTGATACTGCAAAATATTCCTGCATGGAACAGAAGTGATATAGAAGTCGTCATTTAATTCCCATGTTTATTGCGATACCTTGTATGTATACGATCAATTATCGTTAATTTTAAATTAACTTAATTGACCTACACATTAGCCAACGGTATATTTCAATGACAATCGTTTTGGAAAGGTATGAATGAAGTTTGAACTATCCAACTAAAAGCCCATGTGCAAACAAACGTGAAGCAAACATAGAATGAACGTGGAACCAACATTGAATGAATATGGAACGAACATGAAAATAACGTGGAACAAACATGGAATGAACGTGGAACAAATATATAGAATGAACGTGGAACGGACATGGAAGTAACATGGAACAAACATGGAATAAACGCGGAACATGCATAGAATGAAAGTGGAACAATCTTGAAAGAACGTGGACCAAACATGGAAAGAACATGGAACAAACATGGAAAGAACATGGAACAAACATGAAAAGAACATGGAACAAACATGAAATGAATGTGGAACAAACATAGAATGAATGCAGAAAAAACATGGAAAGAACCTGGAACAAACATGGAAAGAACCTGGAACTAACATGGAATGAACGTGGAACGAACATGGAATGAATGTGGAACAAAAATGCAATGAACTTGGAACGAGCATGGAAAGAACGTGGAACGAACATCATGGAATTAACGTGGAACGAACATGGAAAGAACGTGGAACGAACATCATGGAATTAACGTGGAACGAACATGGAATGGACGTGGAACAAGCAATTGCAAAAATACGGAAATTGGCCAGCCGTTACTTCTTTGGCGAAATAAAAATTGTATTTTGTAAAATAACAATTCCTGACAGATAGGGTCTCCTTGTCCACCTCATAACTATAACAAAAGATATCAGATAAAGCAGAAAACAGAGAATAAAATTAAAGATAACTGAAAACAGAAATAAAAAATAACAGAAAACAGAAAACAGAAAACAGAAAACAGAAAACAGAAAAAGGTACCGGGCTTAAACATGTAAGATTAGACTACTCGCCAGTACCAGGTATATACTGTACAATTAGACTACTGGAAGGTACCAGGCTTAAATATGTAAGATTATACTACTGGCCATGTACCAGGCATATACTGTACAATTAGACTACTGGACGGTACCAGGCTTATACATGCAAGATTGGACTACTGGCCATGTACCAGGCATATACTGTACAATTAGACTACTGGCCAGTACCAGGCATATACTGTACAATTAGACTACTGGACAGTACCAGGCTTACACATGTAAGATTAGACTACTGGCCATGTACCAGGCATATACTGTATGATTAGACTACTGGACGGTACCAGGCTTATGCATGTAAGATTATACTACTGGCCAGTACCAGGCATATGCTGTACAATTAGACTACTGGCCAGTACCAGGCATAGACTGTACAATTAGACTACTGGACGGTACCAGGCTTATACATGCAAGATTAGACTATTGGCCAGTACCAGGCATATACTGTACGATTAGACTACTGGACGGTAAAAGGCTTATACATGTAAGATTATACTACTGGCCAGTACCAGGCATATACTGTACAATTAGACTACTGGACGGTACCAGGCTAATATATGTAAGATTAACCAGGCATATACTGTACAATTAGACTACTGGACAGTACCAGGCTAATATATGTAAGATTATACTACTGGCCAGTACCAGGCATATACTGTACAATTAGACTACTGGACGGTACCAGGCTAATATATGTAAGATTAGACTACTGGACAGTACCAGGCTTATACATGTATGATTACACTAGACTGATCAGTACCAGGCATAGACTGTACAATTAGACTACTGGCCAGTACCAGTCATATACTGTACGATTAGACTACTAGACGGTACCAGGCTTAAACATGTAAGATTAGACTACTGGCCAGTACTGGGCATAGACTATACGATTAGACTATTAGAAGGTACCAGACTTATTCTAGACATCTGGCCGGACCAGGCATATGTGTACTGTACGAGTAAACTACATTGCCAGTACTACAGTAAATTACTGTACTTTTACACTATTGGCCATGATAATAGTAAATGCTTATATATCAAGACCTGCAAGGACTGAACTGTACCTGAGATTATAGAATATCCTTCCCAAATGATTTTCTGGAAACTTTTCCTCTTGTTCCTCCGGGTTCTTCTATACAGATAAAACTGTATTGATTTTATTTAACTACAGGGAGAACCAGAAAACTGTACGGAATAGAATGAAGACTTTGAAGCAAAAATTATGTAATATTATGAGTATTTGATGCTGTTACTAAGCAAATAGTTATGCTAGCTATTTATTGAAATTGGCCTTTTTCACTGCACAATTGTCGTGTCTCATGTTCATTAGAATATTTAGAGTTAAAACTTGGGTAAAAAAGTCGTCTTCATATTCCTGAGTTGTATATGGTTCTTACTGTAAAAATTACAATGTCCCCCATGATATGTGAATTTTCCTGGAATCATACGAAGTCCACTAAAAATTGAAACTTAATCGGTTCAGCAGTTATGACTTTAAGTAGCTATCATTATCAGTATCAGTATTGAGTAAACACAAATTTTGAGAATTAAATACAAAGAGATAATAGAGATAATGAGAATCAATTACGCACAATGGATGAGAGAGATTTTACAGAAGTCCTACATTTCCCTGCAAGCAAAAACTAACTTTTTATTTGGAAAATTATTGGTAACCTATCACATATACTATATTTAAGCTGGTTGAATAATTGATATAAAAAAATAATATAAAGAATAATTAAATCTCAAAATCGTCGTATGTAAGGAGTTTTTTGTAGTCATTATAGTCTAATCCTTTATATATGGTAACCTTGTATTAGTCTAAACCAATATCATTTTACAAAGCTATATTTTACAGGATTTGCTTTAAAATCATATTGCTTTCTAGCATATTTTTTTACATATTTATTTTTAAATTTAAAATTTTTTAAAATATTCTTTAAATAGTTAAATGCTAGCAGATGTAAATATTTTGACATTTTTCCCAGTCCTGTCTCCAATGTCTTAATTTGCTAACACAATAAATTGATAGTGTAAAGCTTATCATCGGAGAGTTCCTTTTCCATTTTCCTGTTTAATTTACTTTTTTCTTTTTTCCTTCTTGTTTCTCATTCCTTTTATCTTGTGACATCAAGTTGTGGAGGAGGTAGGACAGAGATAAGGAAGTTTGGAGGAGGAAGGGTATGAAGGATTTTAGTAGAAGATCTCTGCTTTCCTTCATGTTAAAGTCTTTCCAACTAAGCGGAAACCCATAACTGCACCGCTGCGCTTATGCAAAAGCTCCATGCATCAGGTGGAATCCTCCACAGTAGTCCAGTCCTCATAGCTGGCCCAGTAAAAACCAGTATCATTGTGGCTTGTATACCTATCATGGTTTATACTTCTGTGTTCCTTTTTCAGCTAACCCTCCAAGAGTCTTTCTAGCATTTATGTAATAAATATTGTGTCACATGATATTCTGTAAACCTGCAGTAGGTTGTACATTATTAACTATCTATTCTGTAACAAATACAGCAATCCCCATACTTAACCTGAACATACCTAGATAAATTAAACATAACCTAGTAATATGATTAAAATATGCATTGTGATTATCCATGTTAATTCTTTAAATATGTATATTCAACTTAAACTGCGCTGTAAACATGTGTGGAGGGAGGTTAGCTACATTATCTATCCTCGCTAATCATATAAATATGTACAAGGATGTAATGCAAAGAAAGTTAATTGCAGTTGCGTACACATCTGTGTACATATTGAAACCCATTCTTTCTGGGCGGAATTTGTAAACAATAATAGATGCATCATTGTTTGTTTAGTAACTCAGGGGGTTAAAAGCATTAAATTCTGATAATTTTGATAATTCACATAATAGTTTCCTTTGACTAGAATATTTCATTGATTTTTTGTGAAAGATGGATCCCATGTCAGGCTTCAACGTCTGTCTTGTGTTTACATTACTGCCCAGAGACAGTACACTACAGTACAAAAGATGAGTACACCTCTGAAATAACTTTCCTTGCATTACAACCTTGAATATGTACATCAAACTTTAATTGTGCAGTAAATATGAAACATGATTGTCTTAATCATGTGATATAGATAACAACATAAGAATTGTAGTTACGTCAATTTACGTTAACTTGTAATATAAGATATCTAAATAAAGTTAGTTGATATAGAATAATGACTCAATACAGTTTACTGCATGAGAGTAATCATTCCCTGTTCTAACAAACAGGTTGAGGATCGCCCCTTTTAATTTGGGATCGATATATAGCTTACTTGATAGTTAGGCTTGTGTCCCTGTGTGGCATTTAGAGTACTGGCTTGTCCCTTTAATTTGGGATTGATATATAACTTGTTTGATAGCTACACTTACGTGTCCCTGTGTGACATTTAGAGCACTGGATCGTCCCCAATCATTTGAGATCGATATATTGCTTGTTTGATAGCTACGCTTGTGTCCCTGTGTGGAATTTAGAGCCAAAGTAAAAGCTTGTTTAATAGCTATGAGTGTGTCCCTGTGTGGCATTTCGAGCCTGAGTCATAGCTTGATAGCTACCAAGATGGCGCCCAGTGATAGTGGCGTTGATTGTTCATGGGATTGTAGCCTGGTGGATTGTGTCCTGGTTGACCTTGATAGTGGACGGGTTGGACCTGGACTGATACAGTTTGGGACGAAGTTTTAAGAGTACAGCAGTTACTACACAAAGATCAAAATATATATTAAAAGAAACCTTTTTTCTTAATGAACATTTTTGTCTGATGTATAAAAATACCAGACGTGTTCTATCTCAATTATCTGTAAGCTGAATCAGCTTTATTCATCACGGTGAATGGCAGTCTAAAAGAATAAAGTAGAAAAGAGAGTGCCTCCACATGAAGTTTATAGACATATGTCTGCAATATATAACAGTAGATTAACAAACTGGCGGTTTTTGAGAAAATTTCACTCTGTTTAATTTCTACTCTGTGTTATAAAGTCATGGAGGCCTTCCTTTTCGCTTGTACTAATGTACACCTCAAGCAATTCAAAATGGCGAGCATTTTGTGTCTAGCATGAAGGATATCTCACAGTTTCTGATTTTCAGATCGTAATTTCGAAGGAAGTTCTTGTAATTTCTTAAAGCTTTCGGAAAGTTTAGACAAAATGTTAGTGTTACATGGTTCTATTTATATACTCTGCTTGAGCTCCCTTAGTTTTACAGTTGATCTAAATCGATCAGAATTTTGTCAATTACTTCTTTTAAGCAAAAGCTTAAAACATAGCCCTAAAATGTACATGTTTAGGGCTACAATAATGTTAAAGTAAGTTTGTAAGGTCTAACCAAAGGTTAATGCGTTGCAACACTTCAAAGTTGAACCAGTTGTAGAATCGATGCACGAGTATCACAGCTGTTTTTGTCAGCTTGGGTTTTCTCGGCTGCCAAATTGAACTCAATGTTACACGTATACTAAAAAGTAATGTTTATTTCCGACCGGACACTGATTACTCTCCCAAGGGAACAAGAACAAATACAACTTCACAAATATTTCTTTTTACATCTACTTTTCATCTTTCTTAACTTTCGGGTCGATCTCTAACAGACTATTTATTGTGCCATTTTCTACAATTTTGCATGAAAAATGAGCATCTTAGATTCACAAAAGAAATTATAATTATTTTATAAATAATGTTTTTGTTAGTAGCATAAAATGAACTTTTATTTATTCCCTTTACATATATCTACATATAAATCATTGAACCCCTTGACCGAGATGCAACAAACTTTGATTGTGGCCAGAATTCGGTTGAACCAAGGAATATTTCTTGAGAAAATAAGAATGTTTTTTTTCTTCGCGACTTAAATTGACTATAATATAAACAATTAAAAAAGAAAACTTTGCACAAAAAGATAATAAATCACGGTTTGGAACTTTCTCCCTCTGAAATGAAAGGTCACCAAGAAATTACGTCTTTAGTCCCTGTGATACATTTGTGTAGTTAGCTAGCTGTTTAATATCACGAGAATGCAGTGGTTTATTTCTAATTATCAAATTAAGTGGATAATTCGTGGACTAATTAAATAAAGCTCAAATTAGGAAAACTTAAATTAAAACTATTTGCTCTGAGAAAAGATAGAATTATAGGCGAAGGGAGAGGGGAGGGGGGGGGGGGGATATCAATTTCAAAATTAAACAAAAAGTAATTCTGTATTTATAATTTCACAGTGAACAAGACAGAACAGACATTACTGGTCCGACTTTGTGACCTCATAACATCTATAGTTTTTATTTTAAAATCAAATTTATCCGGTTAAAATATTAATGTTTTCTCACGGATCAATAATTTCGTTTTGCTTTTCACTTTGCTTATCAATGATGGACAACTTTTTCTATAAATTCATCATGTAACATTTTTCGACCAACAAAAATTCAATAACTAGGATATCGAAATTTTAAATCATTTCAGCGAATTTTCGATAATTCATTCATTGAAAATGTTATCTTTATTATTTTATTATTTATATGTTTTATATATTTTCGCTTAAAATCTCATGAATCTTTGGAATCCCTATCTTTTTCTAATCGGTAGAAGAAGAAGAAATATTTCCAGCCAAGAGAAGAGATTTTAATTGATGATTTTCATATTTGTACTTTAATTTCGATAGAATAGGGACTAAATAGTCTGCCTTTGCTCATTTTCATATTTGTACTTTAATTTCGATAGAATAGGGACTAAATAGTCTGCCTTTGCTCATTTTCATATTTGTACTTTAATTTCGATAGAATAGGGACTAAATAGTCTGCCTTTGCTCATTTTCATATTTGTACTTTAATTTCGATAGAATAGGGACTAAATAGTCTGCCTTTGCTCATTTTCAAAAAGTTTAATAAAACAATGGAATTCCCTTAAACAAGAAATTTAACCGAAACCTCTTCACTAAAGATTTCCACAAATCGGAAAATAACAATAAAGTTTTTCTTTTTCTTTTCTCAAAACTATCTGAAAACTCTTTAATCATTTATTTGGTTTGCCTTTTTTCAGGGTTCTTGGTTTGTCTGATTGTATTCAATGAACGTGGATAAATTGTTTTGAACGTAATGAAAATAAATTAAGTAAAATTTGTTCAAAATTTTCTTTTTTGGAAATTTACAAATGAAAACATATAGATCTGCGAAATCTTGCATTGATTTTACTTCAAATGTACGAAAAAGAAATGCAATTACGGATAAATCAGCGTAAAAAAAAAACTAAGATTATTATTTCCAGAAATACAAATAATTGTAAGTTTAGCAAGTATGCACATACCTGATATAACTTTGGATTAAATCCTAGAGAATAAAGAATGTCGTCTGTGTCTGTATTCTAAACATAACAAAATATTAAACAGGGTACACAATGTTTTTAAAAATGATGGGTGTAAAATGTCTCTCGTCTATGATCCAAGTGGTACATTTTTGAGAACATTTTCCCTTTGTATTTCAGTATATTTCAAATATACCTTTGTATTTCAAATATAATATAAATATCTAAGAATACATACATAGATAGAGCTAGATTCAGCCTGCTTATAAGTAGTCTTATCAATATTTAAGACAGGGTCGACTTTTAAGTGTCGCAACGCCTTGGGCTTCGATTTTACCGCTCTAATTCACATATACTTTTATGTAGCCCTTAAGATCTTTAATGTGTGTACATATTAGCACTTGTTTTTTGCTTTAGTTTTTAAAAAGTAATTGAAACCTTTAAATAAAAGTTACATACATTTTCTGTGGTACAAACTCTAAATTTCAAGATTTAAAAAATGTCATTGTTTACCTCTATTATTCTTTAAATAATGGCGCTTTGGACTCACGTTAAGCAAACAAAAATGTAATCAAAAATTTGATGAGGAACTATAAAGGTTAGAGATGGTTTACATATGATGTTTATAAGTTTAAAATAAATATTTGTTTAATGATAACAAACAAAAAACATCCTTTACCTGATCTGAAAGTTTTCTTTCTGAACCAGCGATGCTTCGCACCCTTCGTTGGCGGCCTTTAGGGCCACAGGGAGAACTAAATAATAAGTTTACGATTGGTTTTATTATTTCAATAGGGTTTCAAATCGTAATTGCGCAAAAATAGCGCTAAACTTGATTTGCAGCTGCTATAATTATTTGGAACAAGTTCAAAATGTATCGTGTTGCACTGGCATGTCAGAACAATAACAATACAAAAAAAAATGTTGTTCTCTTTCTTTTTATTTGCCAATATTGCAATTGAGAATATCTATTTTTAATTTGATAATTATTCAATTCTATTTCAAATATGTCAAATTAATTTTGTTAATATTATTGTCAAATACACAATCAAATAAATGAAATTTATTTTCAGCAACCTTTGTAGTCGAAAGTTGTAAGAGAAAGCAGGGTTGGTATTTGAAGGGGCGCATGACCGTGTAAGAGAAAGAAGGCTTGGTATTTGAAGGGGGCGCATGGCCGTGTAAGAGAAAGGAGGGTTGGTATTTGAAGGGGGCGCATGGCCGTGTAAGAGAAAGAAGGGTTGGTATTTGAAGGGGCGCATAGCCGTGTAAGAGAAAGCAGGGTTGATATTTGAAGGGGGCGCATGGCAGTGCAAGAGAAAGCAGGGTTGGTATTTGAAGGGGGCGCATGGCCGTGTAAGAGAAAGGAGGGTTGGTATTTGAAGGGGGCGCATGGCCGTATAAGAGAAAGTAGGGTTGGTATTTGAAGGGGCGCATGGCCGTGTAAGAGAAAAAAGGGTTGATATTTAAATGGGGCGCATGGCCGTGTAAGAGGAAGAAGGGTTGGTATTTGAAGGGGGGCATGTCCGTGTAAGAGAAAGGAAGGTTGATATTTGAAGGGGGCGCATGGCCGTGTAAGAGAAAGCAGGGTTGATATTTGAAGGGGGCGCATGGCCGTGTAAGAAATGTATCTAGATATAGTAACTGTTCTGTGGATATTGTTAATCTTGAATGCTTGATCTCGATATCCAAAGTGTGCAATTTTTTTAATTTAAGGTTATATGCTGACTTCACTAATATTAATTTTTGTTAAAACTTATGACGTGTTTTCCAAAAATGCTATAGGTGAGTTAAAAATAAAAATATTAAATTTTGCCAATTCAAGTACGTACAGGCGTTAGTCTTTAATTTAGCTAAATTTTGTTTGAGACAAATAAAAGTCACCGTGTTTATAATGTATATTGAACAAGCACCACTTAAAAATTTTCTAAAGCTGTTCCCTTTCCCTTAATCCAATATGGAACTACTTAAACAGATGATAGCCAAAAAACTCTGAAATAGGAAGTCGACTTTCAAACTCAAGTTAGGACTTCAGAGAGTCTAACAAGCATTAGACACAGCAATTGTGCAGTGTACACAGACCCATTTCACTTATAAGTGAATTAGTAACTTACTAGTATTTGCTTTGTAACAACATCAAATGCACTTCAGTATTGCTTAAATGTCGTCTTTATATTTCTACAGTTTTTGGTTATCACTGTTCTGTATACTTACATTCTACTTCAATCAAAAAAAAGATTTTTAAGATTTATTTGTTCCAAACGTTTTGCGCATCCGATATTTTTAGATCAAAATATTTTAGCCCGCAAAGAAAAATAAATCTAGCACCCCCTTCCAGACTTCAATTCAGTACCCGCCCCTGGTTACATAAATTTTAGTAGACTTGATACTTTTGTTTTTGCAAAAACAAAAATAGGATGGAATTTGACAAATAACACACATTTACATTTGAGATGGAAAAACATGGTGGTAAAGACGGAAATTTTTCAATGAGAAAATTTCCAAGAAAGGGACTGAACTGGGGCCGTTCCTTCCATAAACTACATTGGTCTACAACTTGACGTCTCCTATATTCGTCGTCTATTGTACGGAGAAATTATCTATCTATCAGATAACAATTTAGCATGAGCGATCTAGCGGCCAACATATCGTCCACCAAAGTACGTGAACTACACGATCACTATCTCTGTGTGTACTTTGAAGAGCAGATATTAAAGATACGTACACATGCACTGTACAGGGTCTACAACAGGTATAACTGGGAATGCAGTTGTACACAGTATAAAACAGGTATTAAAAGGACTGTACAAAATACATATATATACTACTGTTGTCGCTAAGGCACAAGATTCTGACGATGAACAGATAGACAAGGTATAACCCACAAATCAAAATCGATAATGCAGAAAACTCTTTATTTCCTAAAAAAATAATGAAATGAATAATGATAAATAATTATTACAGGGTTTACAAATTTATAATGAAAAGATTCTTACGATCTATTTTCCTATTCGGGGGTTATCTGTCGAAAAGTCCGAAGACGCTTTTTATACATTAAAACTTCTGAAAAGATTAACAATTAAATGTTGATGAAAGTCACTAATTCTTTAAATAGAAATGTTTTTGTTTAACTTTGAAATGGTTCACAATTGATAAACGTTTATACTCCGTTATCGGAGAACAAAGAAGAAAAGCGGGCTGAAATTGTTTGGTTTGGATTCTCGTCTCCGAGAGGAGCATTTAAGTTGAAGACGACATTACATAAAAATGGGGGGGGGGTCTTAATGTTAATGGTTGACAACTACATGTATTAAAGAATTCTACAGCGCTAATGTTAATCATGTTTTCAAGGGATTGTAAATTGTGTACAACAAATATACAAAATATATTAAAAGAACTGTACAGAGTGTACATGGTGTCCCAATAAACATGGGATAATTCAGAGACGAATTCGATATAGTCTTTTTAAATAATTCTTTGATTTAGTATAGTGATACCTACTGAGAAAACTGAAAATCCGTAAGATTTTCGTCTGCTATGTTTACAATTTGTTTGTTTATGTTTTGACTGCATACGGTTGTACTTAGTAAAACAATGAAAATTACAGTATACAAACAGAGTGGACTTGTCCGTCTTCACTGTTCGTTTTTTGGAGACATTATATAGACGCATCTTTACAGCCATTTACTGTTTTCATAAAATAAACTCTAGCAGACATAATAATATAATGACCTTTGCAATTAGGTATTACAATGCTAATTTATAACAATTAGACGATATCGAAATCGTCACTAATTCTTATGTTTATTGGGACACCCTTACAACAACTCTAAAAGACAATGTACAAATGTACACAACAACTATCAAAATGATTGTACAGAGTGGACAACAATTATTCATGAGACTATAAGAAGTGTACACTGTACACCATGCAGGTATAAAAGTGACTGTACAAAGTAAATATACATGCGTTAAAGGGACTGTACAGGGTAAATATATAGGGGCTGTACAAAGTAAATATATATGCGTTAAAGGGACTGTACAGAGTAAATATATATGGGTTAAAGGGACTGTACACAGAGTAAATATATGTGTTAAAGGGACTGTACACAGAGTAAATATATGTGTTAAAGGGACTGTACACAGAGTAAATATATGCGTTAAAGGGACTGTACCCAGAGTAAATATATGTGTTAAAGGGACTCTACTCAGAGTAAATATATATATGTTAAAGGGGCTGTACACAGAGTAAATATATGTGTTAAAGGGACTGTACACAGAGTAAATATATATGTGTTAAAGGGGCTGTACACAGAGTAAATATATATGTGTTAAAGGGGCTGTACACAGAGTAAATATATGTGTTAAAGGGACTGTACACAGAGTAAATATATATGTGTTAAAAGGACTGTACACAGAGTAAATATGTATGTGTTAAAGTGACTATACAGAGTAAATATACATGTGTTAAAGGGACTGTACAGAGTAAAAATACATGTTTTCATGGAACTGTACAGAGTAAATATGCATGTGTTAAAGGGACTGTACAGAGTAAATATACATGTGTTCATGGGACTGTACGCAGTAAATATACATGTGTTAAACGGACTGTACAGAGTAAATATACATGTGTTAAAGGGACTGTACAGATTAAAATACATTTACTAAAGGGATTTTTAACGTATTCTCACCTGAGACTGGATCTAGTTGGTCTAGGTGTGCTACAGGGAGAGGGTGCAGGACTAAGGATATATTATGTAGGGTTATTAAACATGAGATTCAAGGTATCAACCCTATCCTTGACCTTGTATTTAAATCTGATTCCTTTTTTAATTTTTTATAATATTTTAAACATAACTAACAAGAGGTATCCAACTTTCAAGAATTATGCAGCCTTTAAAAGTTGGATGTGAGGGCCGAATCTTTGGGCCCACCTAACCAACCCTTTATATTTGGTGCTCTTTATATTTGGGCCCACCTATCCAAACCTTTATATTTGGGGCCCACCTAACCAAACCTGTATATTTGGGGCCCACCTAACCAAACCTTTATATTTGGGGCCCACCTAACCAAACCTTTATATTTGGGGCCCACCTAACCAAACCTTTATATTTGGGGCCCACCTAACCAAACCTTTAAATTAAACCAAAAATAGCCCAACCAGGATAGGGTTATGTAAAGAGGAAAGTTTTGCTAAAACTTTTAACATAAAAAATCTCATGTTTACAAAAGCACTTATTTTAAAGTTAATTACAGCGAGTTTAACTAAAAATGCGAGTAAAGTTATATGTACAGGGTGTCTCAATAAACTTGGGAATTAAGAGAAGACTGATTTCCGACAATTAACAATGACAAAGATTGTATCAAAATAAAGATTGTTACTGCTCATTACTGCTAATATCATGTGTTTACGTAATAATGGCGTGCGGAACAAAACGATTTTAAAAAACGTCACTTAATTTTCATGTTTATTGGGACATTACTATCTTTATTTCATCGTGGGACTCACTTTGAGATGTATTTAAAAGCTTACTACTATAGAATTTAAATTTGATAATTTAACTATACTAAAAATTTTAATAAAAAATGAATATGTATGCACATTCTCAACTTTTATATTATCAAATAGTTGGAGAAAATAAAGTTCATCAATTCCTAGAGAACTTTAAAAAAACTTATAGCATAGACGAGCTAAATAAAACATTAAGTTGAGTTCAAGGGACTACGTAGATGTCATTTTATTTAAATCTTTGATATTTTAAACTGTTATCGTAAAAGCAAAAGTAAAAGCATAAAATATCAAATACTAAAACATAATATTTTCTAATCTAAGAACAAGCTATATTATATACACACTATATTGTTTACTCTAAAGCTAATAAAAAAAATAACTAATCAAAAACTTAATAAAACAGATTTAATCTTTACCTTAGACCATGCCCAGGGGAGAAAAATGTAGATCCGACTGAACTCTGCCCAGAACAATCTGGTTATAAAAGTATAAAAATATAAAAATATAAAAATATAAAAATATAAAAATATAAAAATATAAAAATATAAAAATATAAAAATATAAAAATATAAAAATTGATTTTGTTAAAGGGACTGGAAACGTAATTATATGTGAGCTAGGGTTGTTAATCATTTTTAAAAACGATAGTTTTTTTTCGTTTTTCATTTTTTTTCTAAAAACTAACGTTTTTGAAAATGAACCACTCGTTTTGAACTTTCAAAAAACGATTTACGATATATTTTTACCGAAAAATGTTTGTAATAAAAAACAATCGTTTCTTTTTAAACACGAAAGTTTATATAAATCGCTAATGAATCTAAGTTTTATAACAATTATTTCATGTTTCTCAGAAAGATAAGGTTAAAAATGTTGTATTAAATGTTTTGTTTTAGCGAAACAAATAACCTGAATGTTTGTAATGACCTTGGATATTTCGACCATCAAATGTATTTTTTTTCATTAAAAGTTTGTTAAAGATCTTTAACAAAGAGTCGTCGTTAACGGTCGATAGCAAAGGGTCAATTTCAAAAACGACCGTTTTCTGAAAAATAAAAACAATCTTTTTTTCAAAAACGATAGTTTTTATTCAAAACTAAAAACGATCGTTTTGTTTTTCGTTTTTTCTTTTCAGAAAGTTGCAACATTCAACTCGGATTGTAAAATAATCAATTTAATTCCAAACAAATCGTTCAGATATTACAACCAATAGTCATCAATTATTTTTCGACACACTCGTATTTAGTTAATATTTCATAATATTTTTGATCTTTCTTTTTTTTAATAATGTTTCGCACACGATGGATTTTTAACATTCCTGGAAAAAATGAAAATGTCGTCTTCATTATCAAAAATCCTCGAAACAGGGACAAATGTTTTCAAAAGTAACTCTCAGATCATGAAAAAATATAAGAATATTTTGAAAAATCGACTATTTACGAATGCGTCGAAAAATAATCGATGACTATTGTTTGCAATATCTGAATGATTTGTTTGGAATAAAATTTACTTGTTTACAATCCGAGTTGAAAGTTGCATCTTTCTGAGTTTATATGGACGCTATCGTTATTCGGTATGAGACGTCTTTAACAATTTTCTCCTTATAGATAGAAGTAAGATTAGTTGCGATCGGAAGCGGTTATTTTTCGCCGTAAGCCTATACCCCCTTTAATTTTCGCGAACACTCCCTTTAAACACCTTTTTATCCAAAAACATTATATTATCTTCCACATTATTGTTCAGATATAAGTTTTAAGGGTATCGTAGTAAATCGGTCCAGGCCTTTGTAAACAAACAGAATTTTCTCATTTAAAAATTAAATGGATCTGCAATTAAAACGCTACTAACATTCACTTTAAATTCTGGTAGACGTAATATTCTGCGGGTTATAAAATCAATCAAAAACACACTGTTAGAAAAACATTTCTTCCTAATCTTGCCATAATTGCTGTCAAAAAAACGAAAAGGTTCATGGGGAAAAACTCAAGAAACCTCCCATTAGTCATTACTTATCATTATTGTCTCACCACTTAAATTTCTTTTAATTATAAGAAATGATATTGTCACAGGAAATATATTAATTGAAACATAGATAAAACTTCTGTTGTAGTATATGTATATATATATATATATATATATAATTGTAATATTTTTCATTTTTTAATAGAATATAGAAATTAATAAAACAGATTCTGATAAAAGATAATTTGATTTTTTACAGAATACAGATTACAGATTGCTTCTTGGTTATATAAACATTAAATACAGTAGGGTTTCTCAAACATTGACAAAATATTATTTGAAGCTTTCACAAAGAAAAACAATTTTTTTTTTGTAAAAAAATATGATTCTAGTTCCTCTTTATTTCTGACATTTTTGATGGTATAATAATGATCCAATAGTTATCAAATTTTCGGGAATTTTATAAAGCATCTTATATGAAAGATACTTTATTGTTTAACAAAAAAATTCCTACTTATTTTAAAGTNCGGGTTTTTTTTGCTCTCCCTGTATATATAAATATTTGGATACCATGTCATATTTTTTTCTATATTTTCAATATTTGAGTTTAATACTTTTGTAATGAGATTTCGAAATGGTGAAAAGATTTATCGGATTTCAAACAAACTTTTCTGCAAAACTCAGCTTTTCAATCTTGAAATCATTTTGTTGTTATATTTTGATATTGAAAAAGATTTTTATAAATGCAATCATATTTTCAATAAAACGGAATCAAAATACGTAACCATATTTCTTTATCGTAAAATATATATATTTTGCTGGTTTGGTCTGTTTGTATGTCTGTTAGTTTAAGTTTGTACATAACGGCTTAACCGACGAAGCCCTGTATTTTTTTCGGTAACTTAAATAGAATGAAAGAGAAAGACAAAAATCTTAAATTGCCATAAGTACATGATGGGTCACTTGACATTATGCTTACAGCCCCTTTAACATGTGTATACATGAAATAGTAACCGTTTTTACGGTAATCTGTAAATGGAATGTATTAAATATGTATCTAGATTCCATTACTCCTCATACATGCTCATGATTCTAATACTAAAATATAAACCAGAAACCTGGTTACCATAAGTGTTTCATCTTTTTCTCTTTTTATTATAAAATGCCTCCAAGGAATTATTTTTTATTAATGGCTAAAATTTACACAGCGCTTTGGGTCCATATGCTTGCAAAAATAACATGTCGCCTAACCTGCGACCATTTTTCTTCCAAATTGAATATCCAACATATAATTTTAGCGCATTAACAGATGACATTCCTTACTTTGAAAAATCATATCTAGACATACAATTGTTTCAATTTTTTTTATTGAAAACTGTAAACAAAAGTCCTCTGTTTATTACTTGATACCTCTCACCTCCCAATACGTAAACTGACCTGGGTGATGGTGTGGGTGAAGTATTGGTAGATGCCAACGAATTCGGATTAAGCAGAAATGAACTGATTGAACAAGATCTCTTCTCTCGTTTGCACTAAAGATACAAAAATCTTAAGTGCTACTAGGAATAGATTTTTTTTACAGTTTCACCCATTACCTCGAAGGATCGAAACAATTTACAAAATGTCATCTTGACTATTTTTATTAAAGGTTTTATACTACTTTACCTGAATCTCAGTAATTTTAAAAATGAATAAATAGCCAAGAATAAGCAGAAACAGCTTTAAAGATCTCCATATAATTGTTAAATTACTGTGTACTGTACACTGGAAGGAAGAAAAACTTACGGATTCTTTATAAAATTATTTTCGCGGTTTTTATTAGAATCTTGAGAAAACAGCGATAAGAATAAGATTAAAGTTAACTCTTTAAAAAAAGGTCGTCTTATCGTTATTTCAAGTAATTCACCATTTAAATGGTACCCTTGAAACCTTAAACTTATCAGAAAATAGGGAAGATTTTTTTTTTAATAGCTAGAAAAGTGTTTAACTCTGATAATTACACCAGTTTCCAAAGCATGAAATGCGCAATGCAAATCCCTTTTGTAGAGAAACCACACATGAAAATGGTCAGTTTTCAAAAACAAAAACATGGATATCAATTTGTTGTGAATCGGCTACACCGCTCAGTCAATGTTTAGGGTCGGTTCAAATTATGTTTACAGTGCAATTTAACCAATGACTGTTATCTGGATTTTAACTTTTTGGATAAAATTTCCTTGAATCGTTTTTTACAAATATAGATTATTTTCCAGATTTAGTATTTTGAATAAAATTTATTAATCAGATATTTAATCTATACGTGAATTTTCCTTAAAACGGGACCATTTTTGTATTTTTGTTAACATAAATATAGTTGTAATACTTCTTATTCAGTGTATAAGTGTTACCGTTTAAAAGTGGAATGAAATAAAGGAAATCTAAAGCCTGAAACAGATGTAAGTAAATCTAAAGAGTATGGAAAGTATTATCAAGTAAAAAAAGAACAAATAAAAGGACGCTAATGAATGATGGAAAGCCGGAGCTCTCTAAAAAAACTCTCCGCCTTTCATTTGCCTCATATGACAAGTTAGTCTCCCGTCTTCCACCCTTCGTGATAACTAACTTTCAGTTCGACGTTTAAGCCCAAGCAGATCCTATTTCCTTTTTCCTTGTGTCAAGCCGTATTTCAAGCCTATTGACTTGAAAACATGTTTAAAGGGCTGGCATCTTTTAATGGATAAATCGCTCGATAAACATGAGGCGACTTATCATCTGTCCCACTGTTATAGCTGACTACAGTTTATTGACAAGTAAGCATCTCTCCATGCTTACAATAGAATTGTATAACTTCAAAAAGGTTTTGGGAAAAGTTTCAATCAAGAAAACTAAAAATTGTGAAATAAACAAGCTTGGCAAGATTTTTTAAGGTTTGTTTTTCTTCCTCAAATATGTTTTTTTTTATTTGTTAGACGAATAAACACAAACATCCGAATATAGAAATGGAAAAAAACTTTGCAATGCAAAGAGGTTGAAAATAAATATGCAAAGATATTTTTCATTGTAAGTCAGATTGACTGACCTCTAAAAGTGTCGTGTTATCTAATCTTTCAGAGATCTCATTTACAAGATTATTCAGCGAGCTCATTAACGTAGTTGGCAAAACCTCCTGAACAAAATTAATTTTTATTTTACTTTATTTTTATTATTATTATTATTATTATCATTTTTATCATTATTTAAATTAAATCACCTGTTGTTGGTCGGGTAAAGGAAATCTATAGTCTGAAGAGTATCCCTGGCTTGATTGAGATCTATTGCAAGAAAAAATGTCAGTTTTAGGAAAAAGGTAGATAAGAACCCATATTTTTTAATTGTCAACATTGACTTTTTAAACAAATAAAATCTTCGGAAGAGACAATCGAATAGATCACGTGTCCGATTTGTAACTTATTTCGAATAAAATTGATCCATGTTTTCCAGATGGTAATTTTACTTCATACGATTTTAAGTGACTGCAGCACCCTGAACTAAGTTTCGGTCAGACTTCAGTGGTCTGCAGTACTATGACCGAAGAATTGGTTGGTTTTAGTTGGTTTTCCTTGGTAATAAAGATTGTAAATATTCGTGTTTTTCTTAAACACAGTTAATTTTCAACTAAGGTTTCTCTTAAAGTATCTTACGAATTTAAGCAAGCAGAAGCCGAAAATAACAGAAATGTAAACTTTTCAAGTGAAATAATGATGGATTCTTACTCTTTTGAGCTAAAAAAGGTTTAAAGGGAAATAAGAATTTTTGCAAGAAGAATTTAATTAATCTACAGGGCTGAATAAGATGGAGATCGATAATTGGTCTCCAGATTTACAACAAAAATGTTCTGCCTATTGTATATTTTTTTATTAATCTACTTTCGAATAAGATATTTGTGATGCTGTACTTCTTAACTTATTAAACAACAAACAACATTACGGAGTTAAAACCATTCTAATTTTAAAGCTGAAATTGTAAGCTGTCAAAACTTTAATTGTTAATTAATAATTTTAATTATTCATAATTGAAAGATAGGAAAACGTTTATAAATTAAAATCTCTTTTATGTACAGAAAACTTATTTGCATAAAGGGAAAAGTAAAATGTTCCAAAAGAAATCTAAATTCTTTCTTCATAAGTGGTCGACTCGAGCCTTAATCCTGTTAAATACTCGACTCTAGCCTTAATCCTGTTAAATACTCGACTCTAGCCTTAATCCTGTTAAATACTCGACTCTAGCCTTAATCCTGTTAAATACTCGACTCTAGCCTTAATCCTGTTAAATACTCGACTCTAGCCTTAATCCTGTTAAATACTCGACTCTAGCCTTAATCCTGTTAAATACTCGACTCTAGCCGTAATCCTATTAAATACTTGACTCATGTCTCAATCCTGTTAAATACTCGACTCTAGCCATAATCCTGTTAAATACTCGACTCATGTCTCAATCCTGTTATATACTCGACTCGAGTCTTACTCCTGTTAAAGAGACTCGAGCCTTAATTTCCAGTTAAAGAGACTGCAGTCGTAATTTTGAGTGACTCTTCATCAATAGAATCGATTGCATGTCCGGCCGACTCACTTTTAAAGGTTGCTTGCTCAATTCACTAGCACTAATATCATAAGATTTCTCTGTTTTCCCATCTGCAAAAATTCGCAAGTAACTTTTAGATAGAAACCCCAATTTAAAATAAAAACTGTACCTGGCGGGTGTATAATAGGGCTGAAGAAGGTTACTGGAGCTCCTACTACTGCCGGAATAAATCATTTTCTATCTAGAAATATTCATTCTAGAAATATGTAATCCAGAAATATCCAAACGAGAAATATTCAATCTAAAAATATTCTATCTATAAATATTCAATCAAGAAATATTCAATCAAGAAATATTCAATCAAGAAAAATTCAATTTAGAAATATTTAATCTAGAAACATCTAATCTAGAAATTTTCAAACGAGAAATATCCAATCTAGAAATATTTAAGCTATAAATATGTACAGGGTGAGTCAAAAAAAGTGTGATTAGCGACGCCTGGTGCAAAATTGTAACTTTTTTGTGCAACTCTTCTGTGTGGTGTTTTTTTAATATTTTTAAATTTGTTTTTGTTTTTTGATATTCCAATTGCTTGAAAAAAAATCCGTGAACCTTTTTCTCTCAAAATCAAAAGTTCAGAAAAGCAGAAATGTGTACATAAATTATTTCTATCAAAATCTATAATTTTATAAAAATTGAATCACAGAATCACAGAAAAGTAGCAAAATTGTAAAAATAAAATTCGCAATTTTCAGTTCTGGTCTAATTTTTAAGGAAAAGTTATTTAAATTCTTAATTTCCTTTCTTCTTATTATATTCTAAAGTTTAAATACACCCTGTTCAGTTGAAACCTGAAGTGTCATTAAAAAACAACTTTTCCTTAAAAATTAAGCTAGTACTATTAATTGCAAATTTTCTCATTGCAATTTTGCGAATTTTTGTGATTTTGTGATTCAATTTTTATAAATTTTAGATTTTCATTTAAATAAATTATATACACATTTTTGCTTTTCTGAACTTTTGATTTTGGGAGAGTTCGCGGAATTTTTAATGGATTCTGTAAGGCTGTAGGATGTCGTCTTTGTTACAGTAAACTATGACTGGAAAAAACATATACTGTATAGCTTTTTTACAAGAAATTACAAAGGATTCAGGAAAATCTATGTTTATAAATACATTCTAAAAACCATTATTAAAATATGTGGGGCGCAGACAGCCCGCCAATGTATTAGTTTGGTCTCGATTCGTGTTAAAAATACCCAGTTTAAGAGTTTTGACGGATATTACCAGTTTTCCGTCGGATTTCAGAACTTCAACACAACATATCTATGCCCAAGGTACTAATGCAAGGAAAGTTATTTCAGAGGTGTACGCATATTTTGTACTGCAGTGTACTGTCTTTGGGCGGAAAAGTAAAAACAAGACAGATGTCACAAGCTGACATGGAATATTCTGGTCATAGGAAAATATTATGTGAATTTTCAAAATTATCAAATTATTTTAACCTCTTCGGATACTAAACGAACACATCTATTCTTGTTCCGCCCAAAGAGAACTGGTTTCAATATGTACGCAGAGTATACACGACCGCAATTAACTTTCCT